AATAATTACATATTCAGTTACGTGACTATGCATTTTACTCCTTCGCATATTTCCTTTTAATATTGTAAATGCTTATTGACTTTAAATTATTTATATTTATATAAACACGCTTTTTTTCCCGTTTAAAACGTTTGTTACCCTTTGTTGTAGTTCTAATTATTTACCCCCGTAACACGGGTCTCGATGGTAACAGATTGATAATTGAACAGTAATTTGCACGGTCCGCTCTCCGACCAGAAAGCGATGATAAAAATAAGTTTAATAAATATTTGAAAATTTTCAGGTAATCAAATGTATAGTGTCCAATAATACCCGCTCGTAAAATTTACTACAAGATTTTTTTTTTAAAACAGAACAAATTTGTCCCAAATTAATATTTATAACGAAGAAAAGATACCAATGCTAACGAAATCTAAAGAATAACTACTGAGGAAGAGAGACTGAGAGCATAAAAACATATTTGACAGCCGGATGAAATGAGGAATAGTTAAACTATATTTATTGAAATCACTTTTAGTTTTCATCATGCAATTAAATTGGTTTTGATATTTTCTGGTTTTGAAATAATATTTTTGATTGATTTTGAAATATTATTTGAGACGTCTCATGTATACCTTTTCTTTAACTCTTTATTTTTAACAGCAGTTTAAAAATAATTTGCAAGGGTTGGTCACAACTGAATAAATTCAAAGAAATAAAATATAATTTGATGTTTCCAAGTTGCTAAAAAGTAAAATGAATATATATATATACATATATATATATATATTTTTTTTTTCCTTCGAAAGTTTTCTTTTTTTCCCTTCTATTTTACGAAATTTAATGAAAAACTTGCAGAAAAGAGCTGGTGCATGATACTAGTATATTGATTTTCGGTCCCTTTACATAATACTGTTAGCTAAAAAAATGCTTGCAAGGTCGTTTTTATCTCTATTACAAATAATCTCTCCATTGTTTTCAGTCAGTAGACTCCATCAGTAGATGGCAGCACTAGCGACAACTGTGCTAATTCTCGTTATCATCAACCAAATAAAGATGGCGGCACTATATAATGAAACTTTTAATTCCCTTCTGAAACAATTTAAAAACAAAATTTTATGTGATATTTGTAAGTGAGAAAATTTCTCTCTCATTCTAATAAGTATAAAGACGCAATGGTAATCAAGCTTTGTAATAATTAACATTTTCCTTTTCTTCTAATCATAAATAATTTTATTTCCATTTAATTTTAATTCCGTTTAATTAAGTTTAACTCGGTCATTTTAAAGTGCCTGCAAAATGTTTATTTTCCACAAAGGTCATTTTCAAAAACCTTCGTCATTTGATGCCCCGTGACTTAAAGTAATTTTTATTTCTAAAAAATTTCAAATATTATTTCTAAGCATTCAAAATAATTAACCATGTGTGTTGAGTAAAAGTAGAGAAATATATTTTCAGTAAATGCTTTTAAAATACAAAGAAATTACTATTTTTAAAAAAATGATAGTTTAATACAATTTTAATTTGATTTATTGAATTAATTCCATTCAATGTCAAAATACAATTAAATTGCTATGTGCCAGGCTTTTTTGCTTCTCATTTAACAGCAATGAAACCGACTATTAACTGAAAATAATTTTAATTTTTCTAGTTATGAAACTTAAAACCAAACAGCTTAATCTTGTCCCAAGAATTTTTTAATTTAGTTACCCAATTTTTTTCATAAATTATTTCTGTTCAGATGGTGAAAATGTGCTCCATGTGGATGTTCTATTTTTAGATTTATCATTTTCCATTCAGATGTTCTACTTTTAACAATGTGAAACCTTTCATTATATTTGCTGTATACTAAGAAAATAAAGTTTAAACAGGGTAAGAATGTTTTATTAACATTCCCATCTGTTACTATCAAAATTGTTTTAAAATTATTATTTGAACAATCATATGATTTTTTTAATGGTACGAAGAAATCATGCTTTTCAATTTTGTATAAACATTTGTATTTTTCAATAGAACATGCCCATGTGAATTGACTCGCTTTTTTCTTTTATTCCTCTGTTACTCTTTTCCACTCTGTCACCATGCTCATGATAATAAATCGTAAACGTAGATGGCTTATAGTTAAAAATTAGCTTTATCGATTTTTGTTTTGTAATTGCTATACTGCTTTTTCTTTTCCTCAATAAATTTAAACTATAAAAATAAGAAATCTTCTTTTTTCAACTTCAATTTATTAAATTCCAATTTAATATTTCACAACATATTAAGGCTATTAAAAGAAATATAGGTAGGTATCAATATTTCAATGACTAAAATTCAGTAATTCGCAATGGAAGAACGTTTAAAATTCAGCTCTACTATTGGCCTGTTTTCTTCTCTTCAAACTTTATTTCGCTACATTATTTAACAAAAGTTATTTTTAGTAATTTACGGTGTAGATTTGATTAAAGTGTAATTTATGCAATATTGTTTTCAATATCAGTTGAAATATAAAATAATAAGCTTAAACTTTTTCCACAAATTAGTAACAGACAATAAATTTTTTTATCTTTTATAATAATAAAATTAATGATAATTATCAATAAAATTGATACTACACGTTTGTAATAATAATGTAGGTGTTGAAATTTGTGATATTTACTTTTTTAGGTTTCTTTTAAATTTTTTTTTTTATAACAGAGGCATAATGCATATTCAAGATGATATTTAATGTTTTTTCTATTTTTATGTTCTCAACCAAAAAGTCCATTACTATTTTATATTTTATTGATAAGGAACATGCCAATTACAACTGAAATTTTTATAAGTAGCGATTCAAACATCAAATTTTTTTTAAAAAATTTCTAAATGCCTCTCTGTTTTGAAAATGACCCATGATCAAGAAATGAAATGACGTCTTAGGCATCGTTTTTCTCAGTTCATCAAAGACAAGGTATGTAAGCAAACTAAAAAGGTTAAATGTATTCATATTTATAAGTCTCATTAGACTTTAATATTGTAGTAAATTTAAATAATAAATTGCTCATCATAAAGATGATATTTAAGGGACTAAAATTATAGCTATATATTTTCACAAAATAGTTAAGCCCTGCTTAACCTTGCAGTTTATTTATTTTTAATAAATTTATTTAATAAAGTTTTTTTTTAAGTTCGATAAATTTATTCATTTTTACTGCTTCAAATTTATTTATTTATTTATATACTGGGTTGTTTTCAAATGATAAAATTTCACATTGAAATGTATATTTTTTTTTATTAAATACAACAAACATACTTCATGATTTTTTACAAAATACAATAAACTCAAAATCCGATGACAATAAAAATGAAACCAGCATTAAACAAACCAAACACAACTCTAATCACTATTTACTAGAAAAGCAATATCTACAGCATATCTTGCTATCAGAACTCAATCACCTATCAATTTTTAATATTTATATTTTTACTTATTTTTTGTTCAGAGCATTTGCCATCATATTTACAACAATATATATGATGGCAAATATACACGTACTGAGTTGACAAAAATCAGGGGATAACAATACTATCGTATCGCAAACAAAATGTATATATGAAGCTGTACTTTTATTTATTTTCATATTATTCATCTCAGAATGTTTTTAATGATGACAGCAGGACGAGATTAAATTGTGAGGGAATTCAACATTCCTAAATTTACAGTGTCGAGAGTATGCCAAGAATACCTAATTTTAATCATAACCATCCACGATGGATAACGTAGTGGCCGACCGCCTGTCTTTAATGACCGAGGCTGGTGACGTTTTGGTAGAATTGTCAATGTTAACAGACAAGTAACAATACGAGAAATAACCACAAGCATCAACGCAGGTTGTGAAATGGAACGTGACCGTTATGACAGTTAGGTAAAATTTGACTGCAATGGGATATGGCAGCAGAATACCGACTGATTTCTGCTGCCAGATACCAGAGAATGATTTGGAAACCTACATCACCCGATATGAATCACATCTATAATTTATGGAATATAATTGAGTGGAACAAAATCCTCCACCCGCAACACTCTCGCAAATATGGATACCTATTGAGGCAGCATGGCTGAATATTCCTGCAAGAAACTTTCAACTAAATGTTGAGTCCATGCCATATCGAGGTTTCTGCACTTTGTAGAGCTGAAGGAGGTTCGACACGGTATTAAGAGATATCTCATTACTTTTACTACCTCAGTGTTTATGTGCATATGATATTGTTGTTGAAAAGTTCTATATTTTTTTATCGAAAAGCATTTACATAGACTCCCCGCCCTGTAAGAGTATTAAAATTTTAAGACAATGCTTAAAATTTCTGAGACAAATGCTTGATGGAAACAAATGCTTAAAATTTCTACATTATCACTTAGAATTTGTACAATTTCTTCTTCCTTAAAATTTCTACATTATACATAAGAAATAGCGTAAAAACAATGAAAAAATAAAGTGGTAACATGGTAAACTGAAATAAAATCATAGTAAGCTTAAATGATGTTAAAAATTGTAAAATTATATTAAAATGGCATAATAAATATAATCAAGCACACCAAAGCAAAATATAGGATTGTCCAAAATAAGAAATGTCATTGTCAAACCCGGAAGCAATCTAGAACATTCCGAGTGATTACCATTGTTAAATCATCAAATCATTTCAATTGATCATTTATATTACTTATTTCACCTCACATTCTTATTCACATGCCATTCATTATTAATACTGCCCATTCCTCCATTTACAATATCACCTATTTTCCCTGATTCCCTATCCATAATGCCACTCATTTTTCCCATTTCTCTATTCATAATACCACCCATTTTTCTATCCATTCTACTACCAATTTCACCAATTCCTCCATCCACTGTGACACCTTTTTTTTCGAATTCTCCATCCATAATTATACCCATTTCTCTACCCATACTGCCATCCATTTTAACTATTCCTCCATCCATTATACCACCCATATNGTTAAATCACCAAATCATTTCAATTGATCATTTATACTACTTATTTCACCCCACATTCTTATTCACATGCCATTCATTATTAATACTGCCCATTCCTCCATTTACAATACCACCTATTTTCCCTGTATCCCTATCCATATTACTACCCATTTTACCTATTCCTTCATCCACAATACCACCTATTTTCTCCCACTTCCAATCCATAACACCACCCATTTCTCCAGCATTACTACTACCCATTTTACCCATTCCTCCATCCACAGTACCACCTTTTTTCCCGAATTCTCCATCCATAATTATACCCATTTCTCTGCCCATACTACCATCCATTTTAACCATTCCTCCATCCATAATACCACCCATATTGTTAATTTCTCCATCCATAATATCACCCATTTTACCCATTCCTCTATAGATAATACTATCTTTTTTACCCATTTCTCCATCCACAATACCACCCATTTTACCCATTCCTCTATCAATAATACTGTCCATTTTACCACCCATAACAGCACCCATTTCTCCATCCGCAATACCACCCGTTTTACCCATTCCTCTGTCTATAATGTCACCCATTTTACCATCCATAATAACACCCATTTTACCATTCATAAAACCAACTATTTTACCCATTCCTCCATCCCTAATACCTCCCTGTTCACCCATAGCATCACCCATTCCTCCTCTCATACTGTCCATTGCAATCATATCAATCAAAGGTCTTTTTCCTTGTCCACTCTCTTCACCTAAAAATTAAAAGAAAGAAAAAGTATGTTAATTAATAAAAACAAATTTAAGAGTCAAATTAAAGTAGTTAGCATGGAATTTACAAGAATCACACTTAAATTGTAGGTTAACATTTCACCATACTCACAGTTTATTTCCTTCCAACACTCTTTTTTTTTATAAAAAGAACTGTCCTTGAACAGCCTACCCAATTTTTTAGTTTACCACTACTAATGTTCAACTCTGTAGCCTTGTATTTTTGAACTCAATGCAGACGCCAAGGAAAGTCATGCATCAAGTGGACTGACAAATTTGCCTTTGTGGGAAACTTTTTTGATGGAACTAACCCCTATTTGCGTTACATGGGGAGGAATATCACGAAAACATCCCATGGTTAGACCGTCAGCACGTGGAGCTCACGATCCGTCTTCCACTTAGGATATTTTGCGTCAAACGTTCTGAACGGAATAATTGAAATTATTAAACGATTTTTTGGATCTGGGGGCTAAAGTTGCTCCTTGCAGTCGATGTTCAAATTTCGGAATCCTATCAGTTCTGAAGTTGTAAGAAACTCAAAATACCGTTCCGTGACAAGGATATATTAAATACTGAGTAAACACTAAAGAAAATAAATCATTTTTCGAGCATAAAATAATTATTAAAATTTTTCAACGATTTTCTATTTTGGGGATAAAAATTGCTCCTCGTAATTCTTGTCTAAATTTCAGAGCCCTTGCGCAACGATTCTGAAGTTATAAGAGATCAAAATAGAGTTTCGCAACAAGAAAAGACAAAATACCGAGTAAACAATGAAAATGAGAACAAGAAAACAATTTTATCCTTGTTATGAAAAAAAGTTAAGCCACACTTTCTGTGATTTTTCCGTACTTACGAAACTTCCGTGATTAATCTCTACTTTCACCAATAATACTCCTCAGTATGTCTTTACAAATTAACTCATCCAAAGTTTTTAATTTATAGTATGACAAAAAAAAAAGATCTTTTATGGTTTTTACCTTACCAAAAACACACTTTTTAAAAATTTTGATTATATTTCAAACTGGGAAGTATCACATGTGACAATTATATATTTCTTAAAGGAAATGCTTTACTTTTTGAAAATCCTTCTTGCAGTCCAGCCGGTGGTGAGTCTGATTGCAGAACTACATCGGCTGCAACTCCATCTTCTTCTCTTCGCGAGGTACCTGGCTCATTCGTTTTCACTATGGCACGAAATCCATGCTCGTCGGCAACGTAGTCAACTTGTCTGTACAATCCTTGGGCATCTGTGTATCCATAAGAGCCCGAAACCTTACCATTACCATCTTTTTTTTCTGAGTGGTATATGTTGCCTATGAGAACCGGTGCCTTGTACTCGAAACTGTAAGGTTTATGTAACATCTGGAAACAAAAATGCAACCATTTATGTTTAATTAAATAATCATGTTAAATACAGTAGATAATAGTTTATAATCGGAGACCCTTCTCATTTTTGGCAATCTTCGAATAAACGAATATGTATGTAAATATACCAAGAACAGATCACAAAAAAGGAAAACAAAACTTCCGGTAATCCGAAAGTGACGTCATTGAAAATAAAGACAGCAAAGCATCATATCATGGTAACCATAATGGGATTTCAGCAAAACTAAACGAAAATTATCAACAAACCAAGGGTTCCCCGATTCCACACTAGAGCCATTCAAGCTATATGTTACCGGCAAAGTTTGAAATTCGTCATTCTATAGAACACTTAGGCATTGTATATAATGCCTAAAACTTGCTGGTAATGTATGAAATGATTTATGTTTCATACATTTTCTAAGCATTCTATAGAATGCCAAATGAGAAACCGGAAAAGTATGAAATACCGGCAAGGAGTCATGGTCTATAGACATGAGACAACCATTTGACGATGAACTGTGCAAAATTAGAGTTAACGCTGCAAAAAATAACGTTTTCTTAACCGAAACTACTTACCAGAAGTTAATAAATAAGAAAGACATAATTTATGTTTAGTACAACTTTTACAATGTTTAGTACAAAAGTAAACAAATTATGAAACCTGATTTTCTGTTTTTTAATTAGATTTTTATTTCAGTAACATTCAAATAATGACATTTTCCCTTGTTGTTTAAGGGAAACAGCCATATTGTTTCAAAATAAACGATAGGCGATTCAGTTTGGTCAAATGTTTTAAGCATAACAGTGATGCCAACATAACAAATGTTTTAAACATAACAGCTTATAAATCTAATAAAATTTGTTCTTAGCGCAATTTTTCTCTTATGTGTCACTATAAACTCTGATATACCCCTATTTATGGGCAATTCTATAAGTTACTATTCATTTCATTAGGTTGTATTAAGAAATAATTTAAGTAGTGTTAAAAATTTATTGTACATTTATTTAGATTCTTTCTGTTTGGCTGTCTCAGGCAATAATTTAAGTAGTGTTTAATAGTAAGTTTTAAGCTAAGAATTTATTTTTAGTAATTTTTTAATATAAAAGTATAAAATTTTTTAAAATACAATGTAATTATTTAGATTTACTTTTGAGTCTTAGTGTTGACACCATAATATTTCCTTCATTCCCTTCAACACATGAAGAATTTTCAGTGTCAGGTACTCTTCAATGCCCATTACCTTACGAAAAGCCGAGCTCCTGTGTCTAGTAAAAATGATAATTTTTTTTTACGTTTTTGAAAAATGCTAAAAATGCTAAATGGTTAAAAAACCGTATAGTTTTATATTCAGGATCTTATAACCACACTTTTAGTAAATGGTTTCACAACCATAAAGGAAAAAAATGTTCTTTATCGTAAACTTTCAGGTTAATCGGATGGACAGACAGCTGCCAGTTATTTTACTATAATTTTAGAATGAAAATTTTGATAGCGCACAATTAGCGATTATGAAAGAACGATGTTACGAATCATGACTCGGAATAACTTGTAAATTATTACTTACTGGTTCTCCACTTATTGGGTCGTCACTTCCCCCGTTCATGCCTTCACCGGCCATTTTATTCGTCATAATTCCAACCACCATCTTTCCACGAATTCCAAGAAAAGCCACCATAGCTGTGACTATACATGCCTAGAGTGAAACAAAAAGAGAAGAACCATTATATGAATAGATATTGTGCAAAATAAAAACCGAGAGAATCATCATAACTTTTGATCCAGAAAATCGGATTTTAACGTACCATAAATAAATTTTAATGATACGAGCTCCCAACCATAAATATACTCAATAATTAGGTGAGACGATATCTCCAGCTACGACATCAGACATAAAAAAGTTTACTTTTAGTGAATAGACATACCTTTTTTCCTCTCGAAGGAATCGGGTTCTTGACCTTCAAAATATGGGGAGTGGTAGTCGTAGGGTCCCTATGACTGAGGCAAGAGAGCGGTCGAAAGTTTGGCCACCTTATGGTTAATTTCTACTTTGTTGTGTTTCACCTTATTACCAGTACTTAAACAAATCAAAAGTTTCATACACAATTATCTTGCACAAACTTTTTTTATACAAAGAAAAATCCTTGTAAAAAATTTCTTTTTATACTTATAAGTGCTTTTTAAATATTGAATTTAATAACAGCTGTTAGAGTGTTTAATTTTGTGTGGTATATTAATTTTTGCTTTGATTTGATTTACGTATTTAAAAGAAACGTTAACGTTAAATAATTTAATTGGTGAAATAATGGTGAATTGTTTGCATGCATTAATACCTAATACTCAATCGAGCAAATATTCTTTTTGAAAAAAAAAAAAAAAAAAAAAAAAACAATATTCTCAAAATTTCTTAAAATAAGTGTAATTAAAATGTTTTCTTAGATCTAGTTTTAAGAAAAAATAAAAATGATAATTGAATATAAATCAAGCACTTGTTCATTAAATGAAAATCACGAAAAGATCAATTAAAATTGCAATAGCTTTCAAACACAAATAGATTTTTCTAAAAAAAAAAAAAAAAAAAAAAAAATAAAGCTTGTGCTTATAAATGAAAACAGCTCTTTTAACAAGTCAAATTTTATTTCTGCTGTTACATTTTGGTGAACTGCAGGGCATTCCGCGTTATATTTTTGTAATTAAAAATTGATGACTTTCGAATTTTTCAAGTTTTTATTTCAAGCTTGTAAGTCTTTTAGTTTTTCAGCAGCAAAACAAAATGTAACGCAAAAATAAAGCGAGAAAAAAGTTTGAAAAAAAAAGTACTTATAGTATTGGAATAAGCTTCGAAAAAATGAGAATTTCGAAAAAAACTCATGTCAAGTTAATTAGCATAAGTGGAGCTTTTACCTCGTAGTTCTTATATTAATGCAGCCTGATGAGTGGCCCTCATAGTATTTTTAATAGCATTTTAACATTTAATAATTCTCGAGACAATAAACGAATCTTGTTTCTTTTTTATTGCATCATACTCCTAAAACATTTTTCTAGACATCTTCGTGATTACAAGTTTCGAAGTCTTCAGATTTTCTTTTAAAAGTGTAAGCGGAAATAAAAAGCAGTTTGTTTTTTATGTTTGTCACTAACTTAATCTAATGCATAGACTCCCAAAGTAGTTGGTCAAATCAGTATACTGATTGATAAATCATTAAAAAAGATATTGTAGAGAAAAATGTTACTTATAATAAATTTTTATTTGGTTTAGACTTTGAACAAAACTCAACAAGCCTTTTTATATTTGTCACTAATAATAATCTAATGCATATACTTCCAAAGTAGGAGGTCAAATCAGTGTACTGATTGATAAATTATTTAAAAAGTTTTGCAGAGAAAACATTATTTCCATTTTTTGTTGTGCTGCATAAAAAAATTTTATTGCTAGGAAATTATTTAATATTTTGAAAATGCCAGCTGGTTCTTTTAGAATTTTTAATCAAATTAGTTTAAAGCTTTGCGTCTTTTATTTATTGGGAATATAGTGTTTCAGAGATTTTGGATTTTATTATTCTTTTTATTAAAGCTATTTTAAGTTTAACCTTTGAAGTTTAATACAAATTATTATTTACATTTATAAATTGTGCTTTTTTTAAAAAATTGCACTGCTAATAAGATATTTTATTATTATTTTTATTATTCTTATTCTTATAACTTATTATTACCATTATTATCACTTTTGTTATTATTACTATTTTTATTATTATTACTGATTTTTATGAAAAGGCGTCAAACTAATATTTTAACCTGTTTTGTGGGTGGTGATTCAAAGAAAAAAAAATTCGAAATCTTTGTTCTAAAGAGAATAAAAGACTCGGATTCAGTGATATTCAATTTGTTTCGAGTTATTTAGTTAACTTAAAATGTACACTTACCTTAGTTAGACTCCACTTCATAATGCGAAGTTACTGAGTTTCAATAAGTTAAAAATATTTTAATAGTTGCAAATATGAAAGTACGCAAACTTACTCTTTACTGAAGCGTTGTACGAAAATGTTGTCCCTTTTATACAGAGAGCCTTCACAAAGAAAATAATTAGTTTTATAACTTTCGCGAGCATTTTTTTACAAAAAATATTTCAATTATTTAAATTCTTCCGAAAAGAATCAAATGTCGAAAGCGTAACTAAACACATGGTAGTCTTTGAAGAAAAAAACAGCGGTAGATTCATTTAATACAGAGCAATAATTATTAATATTCGAACGGTATGTAAATTTCATACTGTGTCAGAAGGACAATTTTTAGCGATGATAAATCAGGTATTACTTATAGTTTAATCCATGCGTCGGGAATGGGTAATTAAAACCAGTCAATACAAATATATACTCTTATCTAGCTTTTCCAAGGACAGTAACTAATGTCTTAAAAATTGCTATGATTACTTCTTGATGTAGAAATCTCAATATTTGGTTGACTTTTTGACCCAATTATTATCTACCCTTCTGTTCAAATGATGATTTCGAAACAATTTGTAATTAAAACTGTTCGCAAAATTTACTCATTTTAAAAATATAACTTAACTTTATTTAGTTTTTTGAAATTCTCAACCCTAAACAAATGTAACATTTTTCTAGAACATTTATATCACATAGGTAATATGAAAGTTTCATAGAAAACAAATTTAAAATAAAAAAAAAACTATAATGCAATTTTAGTTATAATTTTTAGTTAAATAAGTAACCAAGGGTTAAACTCGGTTTCCATTAAATTTTTACTAGGCTAAAAATTTACTGATATTGAAAGAAATGCAATTAGAAATATAAGTATAATTTTGCCAAACCTAGTAGAAATAAACTTAATACAGTTTCAATGATCTCTATGTATGGGTTTTTAACCGCTTCCTTTACCGCTTTTCTTGAAGAAAAAAAATTCAAAAAATCCACAAATATTTTATTTCATTTATAATTACAAGGAACTAAAACAGAACATAATACGCAAGTTTTAAACTGAAACTTTAAATTTTTTATGTGTAAAAAACGTTTAATTTACAATCAGTTTTTTATCTGGAGTTATCTCGGGCAAATGAAAAAAGTTAATTGATTCATTGTATAATTAGTTTTTAAAACAAGGAACAACACAAAGTGATATTTTCCGAATGCCAATGAAGTGATACGCAATTTTTTACTCTTTTTTTCTATGTAAATTTAGTAAATATCGTATAATAATAATAGACACATTTTATTTTAATTAAATTTTATTTTAATACACGTTTTGAAGAAATAATAAATACAAGTTTGGATCTAATATTTCGTAGTAAGGAATCAAGAATATTAATAATTCACTGATAATTGTTTCATTGCACCGAAGTAGTTAATTCTTTTCGAAACAATTGGGCTTTCAACTATTTAATATTGATTCTTTGAACTGGGGGTCATTTCATGCATGACATTCAACTTTAAAATTTCAAATATAAAATTACAAGAATGCGTAAGCTGGCTTTAATTAAAAATAAGAAGCGGACAAAATCGCCGGCAAAAGAAGTTATCTTATGAAAAGGATGTCAGAGTGAAAAACTGTAACAAGTGTTACTCTTGTTTAATTTAGGGTATTATAAACCTAAATTTTCGTTTAATTTAATTTTGTATATTATTTTTTTAATAAACTAACGAGATGAGTGTGTAAATAATATCCATTCGTTTTACTAGAAACAAAATTTACTTAGTATCATTCGCAAATTATATAAAGTGCGAATTCTTAAACTCAGGCGTAGGGTAGTAGGATATTTCAAGCATGATCAGTAGTTTCAAGAGTGAACTCTTATACTGGAAGGCAGCTAACTTCTTTAAAAATTCTAATTCGGAATTTTTTTTTGTTATTTTACAAATGTTATAACGCATGTGAATTTTTAAATGGTTATTTATATAATTTTCTCATTGGCCATTAGTTTTACCTTGATGAAGCAAGAACGAAAACCCTAGTAAGCAGCCGAAAACTAAATCAATATGAATTATTATCTTTCAACTTTTTTTTTCATTCTCTAACCTTGCTATTTAAACTCTATGATCCGCTGTAATATGTTCTTGTTTTAGTCAAAATATTGACATTTTTTATATTTTTTTCAACATACATCAACATAGTTCAAAAAATTAACATTTTTAAAGATTTGAATTCTTTTTTTTCAAAGAGCAAATCTCTAACAATAATTCAGCGAATCACAAAACAATAATTCAGCACTATTTCTGAGTTAGTTTATCTTCTAAATACTCCCCCCCCCCTGTAATTTAAAATTAGATGATAAAATTGATTAGTTTTTGTAAAAAAGATTGTTACCAAGCAACTGAAATGAAAGAACTGATAGGAAAGAATACATAAAAGTTTGCTACTCTACAGTAAAGAAATCATTTATATTAAATAATCAAAATATAAATTTACGAAATATTTATTTGTTTTATATAATTTTTGCATTTAAAAATGAGAAGTTTTATGGCATTCAGCCAATTTATGTTTTACAATATTTGCAATGTTTGAAATGCTTAAAATGTATCCACTTAAATCCTATAGGAAGGAATGCAAACATTCTGATTCTATTTATAGTTTTCTATTAATTAAGCCACAGTTTATTTAACCAAAGAATGCTGACTTATTGATCAGGAAGCTAAATTATTAATTTAACTCAGTAAAACTTAAAAGAGTTATATACCACATGCGCATTAAGTTTCAGATAATTTCTTTCACCGAAAATTTTTACCTTATATAAAGCGGTGAGTTGTATAGTTCCTTTCAACAGTATTAATCTTTAAATATTGTTGTTAAGCTATTTTTTCGCCTATAAT